GACACGCCCAAGGCGGGGGAAGGGCCAGGTCATGGGGTGGACGGTTTAGGGCAAGGTTGGGTCGTTTGGGGGTCGTCAAAGGTCACCAAGAACCCCCCCCAAAGGTCACTTTTAGAACCCAAAAAAGGTCACCGAGAACCCCCCCCCGAAGGTCACCCTAAAAAAAGGGCAATTAAAACCCATCGAGGGTCAATTAAAACCCATAAAGGGTCAATTAAAACTCAATGAGAGTCAAATAAAACCCATCGAGGGTCAATTAAAACCCATCAAGGGGCAATTAAAGCCCATCATAAAGCAATTAAAACCCAACAAGGGTCAATTAAAACCCATAAAGGGTCAATTAAAACTCAATGAGAGTCAATTAAAACCCATCAGGGGTCAATTAAAACTCAATGAGAGTCAATTAAAACTCATTGAGGGTCAATTAAAACCCATCAGGGGTCAATTAAAACTCAATGAGAGTCAATTAAACCCCATCGAGGGTCAATTAAAACTCATCAAGGGTCAATTAAAACTCATCAAGGGTCAATTAAAACTCAATGAGAGTCAATTAAAACCCATTGAGGGTTAATTAAAACCTATAAAGGGTCAATTAAAACCCATCGAGGGTCAATTAAAATTCAATGAGAGTCAATTAAAACCCCTTAAAGGGTCAATTCAAACCCAATAAGGGTCAATTCAAACCCATCGAGGGTCAATTAAAACCCATCGAGGGTCAATTAAAACCCAATGAGAGTCAATTAAAACCCATCGAGGGTCAATTAAAACTCAATGAGAATCGATTAAACCCCATCGAGGGTCAATTAAAACTCAGCAAGGGTCAATTAAAACCCAATGAGAGTCAATTAAAACCCAATAAGGGTCAATTAAAACCCACAAAGGGTCAATTAAAACCCATCAAGGGTCAATTAAAACCCATCGAGGGTCAATTAAAACTCAATGAGGGTCAATTAAAACTCATCAAGGGTCAATTAAAACCCATCGAGGGTCAATTAAAACCCATCGAGGGTCAATTAAAACCCATCGAGGGTCAATTAAAACTCAATGAGGGTCAATTAAAACCCATCATAAGGTAATTAAAACCCAATAAGGGTCAATTAGAATTCAATGAGAGTCAATTAAAACCCATTGAGGGTCAATTAAAACTCAATGAGAATCAATTAAACCCCAACGAGGGTCAATTAAAACCCATCAAGGGTCAATTAAAACCCAACAAGGGTCAATCAAAACCCCTTAAAGGGTCACCTGGGACCCCTCCCAAAGGTCACCTCGAACCCACCGAGGCCCCGTTGAACCCACCGAAACCCCCCCCAAAAAAACCCACTGAAAGTCCCCCAAATCCCCCCAAAACCCCACTGAAAGTCCCCCAAATCCCCCCAAACCCCCCCAAATCCCACCCCCAACCCCTCCCAGGGTGAGATGATCGACCGCATCGAGTACAACGTGGAGCACTCGGTCGACTACGTCGAGCGCGCCGTGTCCGACACCAAAAAAGCCGTAAAGTACCAGAGCAAAGCCCGGAGGGTGAGTTTGGGGAGGGAGGGGGGATTTGGGGGGGAGGGGGGGCTTGGGGGGGCGCTGGGGGTGTGGGGGTGGTAACTCTCCCTTCTTCTCTCTCTTCCCCCTCCCCCCCTTCCCCCTCCTTTCCCCCCCTCCCCCCTCGCTGCCGGGACGTCCAAATTTTGGGGCTTCCTTGGGGGCGCCGGCAGAAGAAAATCATGATCATCATCTGCTGCGTGGTGCTGGGGGTGGTCTTGGCCTCCTCCATCGGGGGCACCCTGGGCTTGTAGGGCTCCCCCCTCTTCCCCCCAACAGGGGCGTGGCAGCCACAGCGCCCCCCTCCTCCCCCTCCCCTTCCGCCTCCCCCCCTCCCCAGGCCCCGCCCCCCTCCTCGTTAATTAACGCCTAAATTGCCAATAAATCAAGAGACGAAATTGTTCACGCGAACGGACAAACCAGCACGTGGTCCAATCACCCGCCGGCCCCGCCCCCTCCCCTCCC